CCCTTACTCTTTTCCGAATTGTGTATTGTGTTCTTTAATGTGCACACGGCCAAAATGCACAAAGGACCAACAGCTTAAATGTCTCATCCAAAACACTGTGCACTATCATTACTTGCATGTCAGTCCTCCAGCTGATACACTCAGAGAGCAGTGATGGGAATTGAACCGGGGCCTAGATATTGCCACGGTTTAGTGCACACACATTGGCTACCACCAGTTTTGCCAGTTTATACACGGCTTTGCAGAATAACAACTGATGAGCCAAGTTTCCATTTTTTAAATAAAGATTATTATTATTATTAGTCAACTGAGCTAAGCTGCTCTAACATTTGTGTGTGTGGGTGTGTGCGTGCAAAGGTATTTGAGTGTCTATAAGGGTATCTTATGTGGGTTAATGTCTGCTTGTGTTTGTCAATGTTACAAATCCAAAAATTACATTCTCTCCTCCTTCAAAAAAGAATTCCAACAATATGTTTCCTACCTTTGTCTTCCCCGCTCCTATTCCTGAACTCTTGAACATCATAATTCTGTTTTGTCGGCATTTTCATTATACATTGCTAAGTCAGAATGTTGTTGAATTTTTTTTTTTTTTTGGCATTGAACTATTTAGGATCCAAAGGAATACCTCCCATTCCTGAACAATTTGAAGAAACTAGAATCAAACTACCAAAGGTACAGCATTGATAAGCACCTTGGAAGGTTTGCCAAAGCTCTAGGCCACATCAGCAAGTGCCCAGAGCACTTTGAAGAGTGCCTTTCCTTGGTCAAAGAACAGAAGTTGCACAGCCTAGCACTGGATTTATTTGCACCTAAATCAAATGAATACAAGGTAGGAATGAATTTACTTGTATAAAGTAATTTCTTTGCATTTATAGTTTAGATAAAACCTAAATTCTAAATGGTACCAGCTGTTTTATTTTTTCAACTTATTTGTAACAGGTGGCTACGTCCTAAAGCTCTGCGAGTTTTTCTTGCAGAACTTATTGTAGCCTCCTTTCATACAATCTTCAATTACTGTATTTTATACTGCATTTTTTTATTGCTTCAATTGATTGGAAATAAAAGTAGATTTGATTTGAAGTGCCAAAACTCAATTTAATGATGCACATGTAGCTCTTCTACTAATCATTTAATAATACTAGTAATCTAATGGTAATTGTGGTGACTTTGGATAGGTTGTCTGCTTTCCAGTCCTACATGCATTGAATCAATCCTTTCAAACTCCATTCCCATAAGCCTAACATACATAAAATTCTCAGTCAAAACTTCTGTTTTCCAAATACAAATTGTTGTACTGTTTGTCTGGGTTTATAACAACAATTCATAATTTTACTTAACTCTATATTGTATCATACAGTTTACTTCTATCTTTTTTTAATTGACAAGTTACTTGCTGTTTGAGTAGACAAATATAATAAAGGGGAAAAAAGGAATATAAATATTTATATACGTATATACCTATACATTTTGTGCCAAAAAATAAACACCTCCCTCTAGAAAATGCCTCCCTCAAAAATGCCTCCTTCAAAAACCCTTCTCAACAATAAATGCCCCAGGGTGTTTATACAAATAAATACAGGAGTCTATTTTTATGACATTCATTTTAAAAAATTGAAATAGTTTGTGTCTCATTATATAGGCAGTTGCTACTTCTTATGCAGAATATCTAACTGAGAAGAACAGGCATGAAGAAGCAGGCACTCTTTACTGTCTATCTGATGAGTGGTCTCAGGCCCTTGAGTCCTATCTCAAGTGTGGCAACTGGCGCCAAGTGTTCTGCCTGACAGCCAGGCTAGGGTATGCACGAGACAAGGTGTCTAGTATAGCCAGGAAGCTTGCAGGCTACCTGACACAGCATCGAAGGCATACAGAAGCTGCCGTTGTACTAGAAGAATATGTTGAAGACCAAGAGGAGGCGATTGCTGCTCTCATCTGTGGTGGTGCTTGGGAAGAATCTCTACGTCTGGTTAGTTGCATCAATGGTAGTTAGATACGTAGAGTTATTATTATACAAACGTAATGTGCACTTGTGTTATGCATTACAATGTTTAGTGTCTCTATATGTTTTACAAATCAAGATAAGATTCCACACACAGGAGCATCTTGTCCTGTTCATTACGGTTTATTGAATGAATAATATCCGAGGAGCTCATAAGACAGCTTGTGAATAGAGAGCTCGCTTCATATCTTTAAACATGAGTGTTACATGGAATACTATGATTAAGATCACAGCCAATACCAAGATAGAGAGCTATGGACGTTTATCTTTTTATCATGCTAATATGAACAATACAGGCTCACAAATCCATGAAATACAGTACCTGTAATTGATTTTTTTTAAAATAAACATGTTTCCATAAGTGATTGCATCTCTAATAGATTTAATAATAATAATAATAATAATAATATTTATAATAATAATAATAATAATAATAATAATAATAATAATAAAACAGCACTTATAATTCGCTGTCTATCTAGCGTGCTATTCCGAGGCACTGTGACTCTTGACGAAAAGAAAAAGTCATGACCAATAAATCTAAATCTTAGTTAATGTAAGGTTAAGTAGTTTTGGTAACAATGTATACATTCTTTCCATTTTGTATTAGATGTACAAGTACAAGAGAACAGACATCATTGAAACAAACTTAAAACCAGCTCTCAGGGAAGGTAAGTTTGTACTTGTTATAGCTCAGCATCCATTGACCCATTAATATCCTTAGGTTCCTGTTTAAATTCCATAGTCCATACAAGTGACCTTCAGGTATTTTGCTGTGTGAGGTGGGTGGGGAAAAATGTTGCTATCTGACAAATAGAGACCCCTTATCATGGGATGTCACTCCTAAACCCTCAAATATTTGCAGCAAGGAGATTTGCCCTGTTTACCCCACCATGGATTTATACCCCAGATCTTGATCAGAGATCCTAGACGGCTTTTGGGTTTGCATGCTGTTCTCTCAGGGGAAAAAATCAAAGGAGCAAATTAAATATATTATTTTTTCATTATTCAAAAACTAATGTCACAATTTTTTTCTATAGGTTGCCAAGAGCATATAGAATCCATTTGTAACAGTAGACAAGAGTTTGAAAACTTCAAGGCACGTCTTGCCGTTGTAAGAGAAAATAAAGAGCGTACCCATAATGAAATGGTAGATGGTGAGGGAGTCAATAATGCAGATGCAGACTTATACTCCGACACGAGTAGCATAACAGGAAGCACATTTGCCGGGAGTACAGGGACACGATCTACGTTCACTGCATACAGTGAAGCTAATTCTAGGATTTCAGGGTAAGTGAAGACATTTTCGGTAACTTTAACATGTTTGTTTCCATTCTGAAATGAAACAATTCACTACTTTTTAGCACAATAGACACAAATAGCCATTATTTTTGGCATTTATTTGCTTTCATTTTGGTTGAGTGTGCTCAAATGATTATTATGCATGCCTTGTCTTTCAATGTTTTATGGTCTGTAGAAAAGTACTGTCATATCTATAATAAAATCTTTTCTTCCAAGGTTTTCTCACCTCAAAATGCGCAATGTGTGTAGACAACAGCTAAGAAGCCAAATTGATTCTTTTTACATATTTTCTAGGAGGTCAGCTAAGAATAAGAGAAAAGCAGCAAGTAAAAGGAGGAGTTTGAGGGAAGGCAGTGAAGAGGAAGACCTGGCTTTATTGGAGGCATTACAACAAATATATAAAAATACAGACCAACTCAAAGGCAAGTTGAAACATTAGTAATCTTAAAGCTATTGACATATAGGTGGAGAGCTGCCATGTTTTTTTTTAATATTTAATCTTTGGCTGCTTTGTTTTCTCTCCGCAAAACATTGATTTGCGCTAGTCAAGTTGTGATGTGACAATTGCTTATATTAAATGTGAAATAGTGTATTTTGGAGATTGTAAGATGTATATCTTCCCCACAGTGAGAGCCAGGTTTTTGGTGTGATAGCTTGAACTTCATGTTTAATTTCTGACTTCCCCCACCTTCCCCCCACCCTTGAGTGTTAGTGCATTGAGGGAAGGTCTGTATCATCAACACTTACCTGGATGAAACATTAGATGCCAAGTTTATGCACAATTACTTTGTCTTCGTCGTGGTTACGTGGCCACAAGTCCCACTAGGGGACCATTACTGCCCTGTCTCTTATTCACATCTTAGTTCTTTTTTTGAATTTATAAAAAAGGACCTTCAAGCGCCAAGTCACCAGATTAAAAAAAAAAAAAGTTAATTAAATCTTAAGAACTAACAATCAATTGCAATGATGTTCATTAAGCTTGCTGATGGATAACTGTATGATTGTAAAGATGAGATAGATAACCTTGGCTTAATGATTTGTTGTATTCATTTCATTTTTAATTATTTTCAGGCGAGATAGGGAGTCTCTTGAAAATGCTGGTTTTATTTCATTTTGAAAAAGATGCAAAGTCATTGCAAAGCACTCTTTATGATCTGCTCAAGCTCCTGGAAAAATCAACTTCTGATATTTGGCCCAAGACTGATGATAACCCTGTACCTGTACGTAGTCAAATCTGTCAAAAAACGAAGTATTTATTTGTTGTTACATATTTCTGCTGTTTCTTTGTTTATTTATTTACAATAATTAGCTTTTTTAGATAAATAATTATTGTGTATTGTCATTTCAAACTAGTGAGTGTCTGACAGCAGGTTTTTCTTTTTCATTTCAGCAAACGTTTGGTCCCCAAGCAACATCAAACACAATCGCTGCCGCAATGATGAAAGCCCCCTTGCAAACATCCACAAAGCAGGCTGATCTAGCGCTGTTTGTGCCTCCTAAGTTGGCAAAAGATGACAAGTGGAGAATGCACCAATTGGAATCAAGCTCAAACAAATGAGAGAACTTGACAAATGAGAGAACTTGACTTGAGTGATCCGCTTCAATCTTCTTGGTGCATAAGGATGCAACAGGTCTTTGTGTTACCCATGCTTTCTTTGCTGTTTCCTATGTGATATGGTGATTTTTCAATTCAGATAAGACAGTCTTCTTCACATAGTTTTCAGTGCAGTGTTTGGTATATTGTTTTGCTCCGTTTGAAACATGTCACCTCAAATAACAACAGGCGGACTAATATGAGGACAGTCAAGGGAAATTAAATTTAAAATCATGTAATAAATGTGCTTTATCGATATCAAGAATGTGTGTCGAAGTTTCCTGATTTGCAATTTATTGATTGTACATATCTCAGGACTCCTGCCAACAGTAAAAGGATGTTATTAAACAAGGTATTTGCACATATTGGCGCATAAAGTATTAGTTATGCTTTCATGTTTATTGTATTGAAAGGTAAATTATATATTGTGCTTGTTCATTTCTGAAAGAACTGCTCCATTAATTTATGCATGTATGCTTATTCATTAACAAGCAGATAAAGCATGTAAATTTTATAAAACTTAATAATAAATATATGAAAATTATTCACATCTGCTGCAATTTTGTCATTGTCTTATTTAGTTGTTTCTATGGCCTTAGCTATAAACTTGGGCACATTGTGTCAGCCAACAGTCGTAAATCTATGTCCGCTTCTTGCGTACTTTTTTACAATATTGTATTGGTCAAACAGTTGGAGACAGTGAGTGTTTCAATTAGTTTGTGTTTGCCCACGCACACATTTTGACATAGAGCTGTTGGTGGAGAAACTGATAAAAATGATTTTTTTTACAATACTTACAGATATATTGTGTGCTAAAATCTATAAGATAAACCAAAATATTATATTTGTACAATAAGCAAATAGGTTATTAGTTTCTAATAATTATACACAATTGAAATTATTTAATTTTCGCAGCTTTATTTTTCTCTATAAATGTTCAGGTTTATTGCCAGACAATTTCAATATGATAATAGGAACTATAATTATTGAAGAGAATATTTTCTTCAAATTTTCCCTTGAAAGCTATTTAACTTCAAATATTGAATTACCTCAGTATAATTAGTGTACCTTTAAATTATATAATAGTGGTTGAATACACGTAACACACAAAATATATTAATGAAGGTCATGTGGTCTCTGTTATAGAACATACCTGCATGAATTTCTTCAAGTTATTAAACTATTGAGGGCGTTTATTTAAGCCGACTATAGAATGAAAAACAGCGATCGTCTACTATCGTGTTTTGACTAACCGATCGTTAAGGGAAAACATAAAAACAACTCAAGGAAGATTTTTAAATCAATAGGCCTAAATAGTAGATTTTATATAAAACATGAACATAAAGTAACAAATTAGATTGAAAAAAGAAGTACAGTATGCTCTGGCATTCCCAAGCTTTTATACCGTACGGTATTTAATTGAATAAACGCACCCCCCCCCCCCCCAATAGATCCTTTCTTTTTGGAATAAACGCCTCCCTCGAATAAGCGCCCTCAACTAATGACTAAACAAATCTAATGGAAGCAACATCATTCTCAACACATTCTATTCATGTTCTACTGCTTTTTTCTAACCTGGTTGAAATTAAGTCTTCATGATCACGCAATACTGCAGGCCTAATACATTTTGACGTTCATTACAATAAAATTATCGGGCGTTTATTCGAGTATATACGTATCCATTTTACACAAAATAAATAAATAAATAAACACCTCCCTCGAATAAACGCTCCCTCAAAAAACTTTCTCAACAATAAAACCCCCAGGAGTTTATTTGAATAAATATGGTACTAGTCAATAAAAGAATACAAATTTACCATTTCCCATTGGCATAGGAATATCAGCGGCTCTGGCAGAGGTCTAGATTGCATCATAAATACATATCTTCTATTGGCGGATACAGGAATATGAAATTATTCGCTTATACATGGCCGGAAATGGCACTCTCAGACATAAATTTTAAATATAATTTTCTTTTTTCTCCATTTTTTAACTTTTAAATATTTAGGGGGCGGAGGTGGGCCGACCCCCCCCCCCCCCCCCCCCCCCCTTCTCCTCACCCTGAATCTGCCAGTGATCATCTTGATAGGAGAAAAAGTTAAATCGGTTGGCTGGTCATCTGATGATACATAGGATGAATGATAGGGCCTACCATTATATTTATAAAACGCCAAAATCTTTTCTGACGCATAGGTATATGGTACATTATAAATACAGTATATGGACACAGATTGTTATTATCAAAAACAATCAGATAAAATGCGGGTTAAATTTCGATTTCAAATGAAAATGCTAATTCATATTGTTTTTCTTGGAGGAGTTACGTTTAGAATAATATTTAGATAGAAAATAAATGATGGTATAAACTATATTTGAAGTTAATTGAAATTGTATAAACGACATAAGTTGAATTAAAACGATTGTTTATATTTGCTCCCCCTTTTTTTATTTGTATTATTATTAGACTTATTAATATCATTTTAGATCCATATTAAACTGCGAGTACGTAAATGTTCGAATAAGCGCCGCTTATTACCCTGTGTGTAAATGCAACTGTAAATAAAATAAAGAACACACAAGCATTTCTATAAAAAAACGTTCGTTTACGATGACGTAGGACCTATGATAACTTAAGCCTACCAAACTAGCGGAATACGGGAGATAGGTAACAACGGGCATGGAAAGTACCACGCCAATATTTTTTATAAGCGCCGCTCTCGAATAAGACCGCACTGAAGCCTCAAAAAAATTTATAAGCGCCGAGGCGCTTATTCGAGCATTTACGGTACACTTGCCAGTTACAGATTGCAACACTGCTAAGTTTTTTTTATGAGGCTTAGCAGGGGGATTTATTTTAGTCGTGGAAAAAATGCGGTACTTCACAGGATTTGAACCCATGACTGTGGTATTGAAATGCAAACATCTTGATCTCCAGGCAACAGCTTCACCGTGATTCTACAAAAATCATCTGGGCTTAAACAACTGATAATATTAATGCTTTTTTTTTCTTTTTATATGAATATTAAAATCAAGACTTTTATTTTTTTATTATTATTTCAGAGTTAATCATTTCTTACTGTAGAAACTCGAATAGAAGCACTGGGCTTATGTTCTTTTTTTTTTTTTTTTGTATTTTTTGTTTGTATTTTTTTTTTTGTTTTAGGTGGGGGAGGGGGGTGGGGCTTTGGATGGCCTTATATTTAAAATGAATGCTGTACATTTTGGGAATTACTACTATAAAAAGGGCCACTTGTAACATCAATCTGTATCATGAAGTGTATTAACCGGCATTAATTAACGTAAACACTATAAAAAAAGCGTATTTTTAATTTATTTTCTTTCATTGATATTCATGTACAGTGTATGTACTGTACTATCTCGAAAAGAAGCCCATGGGCTTTTTTTCGAAGCTACTTTCGCAAACTAAGTGGGGGATTCAATTCGAGATGGGCTTCTTCTCGAGATTAAGCCCATTGGGCTTCTATTCGAGGTTCTGCTGTATATTATGTAGACTTAAACATTATGCAACAATACGAATAGCCTTATCTGCATTACATTCATTACCATGGAAACATATCATTTATGCGTTCTCATTCTGTGCTTTATTAAAATTGTAATCGCAGTTCGACTTTAGGAGTTCAGCTTTATTACCAGAATAACACAAATATGGAATTGTTGTCAATGAATATGACGTACGGCTGTGTAAATTCGTGTTTTTTTCATCTTCATCTAGATATAATTTTTATATTTTTTTATTACTTTTTACAAATTTTAACTTAATATATTGTAAATATTTTTGATGTTTTTGGTGTTTTGCTGGGACTTCTGACTCATTGAGTCACAGAGGCTATTGCTTCTTTAGAAGTCCCAGGACCTTTGTGTCTAATAAATAAATGAAAATGAAAAATGAAAATCTTGTCAATTTAAATGTTTAAATGCACTGGAATAATTTCGTTCTATAAATACAAGTTTCATTATCAACAACTGGAATTTTTGCTGTGTAGTGACGATGGTTGAAAGGTATCCCCACTGTTGTAGCTGTGATAGCATAAAACCCGAACTGAAGCCCTGACCCCCCCCCCCCTTTTATTTATTTTTTTTTTGGCGAACTTGGATGAGCTTCTTTTCAAGATGGGCTTCTTTTCGAGGCTACATTTGCAAAGTAAAGAGGGGTGCTTCCTTTCAAAATGAATGCTGTAAATTTTGTGAATTTGTACAATAAAAAATAAATAAGGCCACTGTAATATCAATCTGTATCATGGAGTGTATTCAACTGGCATTAAATCAACTGAACTACTGTTTAAATCATGTTTTTAACTTTTTTTTTTTTTTTAACCTAAGCTATCTTGAAAAGAAGCTCATGGGCTTCTCTTTGAGGCAATTTTTTTTCAATCTAAAGAGGAGAGCTTTAATTCGAGATGGGCTTCCTCTCGAGATTAACAACAAATGTGAATGTAAACATTTCACTGAGAAGTATTTAGTCATAAAATATTTTGATAATCGATCAAAAATCGATTTGTTTGGATGGTGCGCGTGGTTGGACGCACGTGGTGTATGTGTACCAAAGGAGACAGAAGATCGCATTTGTTTGGATGGTGAGCACCATGTTTGGAGGGCACCTGGTGTAGGTCTAAGTAGCGAATAGAGACAGTAAAGCTCGCATCATCAGATGATTGATTTCCATGTCCTGTTTTTTTTTTTTTTTTTTTTTTCGGTATTGTAATTGCAGCACGACCTGCTAAGTCTACCAAGAACGAATTACTTGAATTAATACGGATGTTTGTTTTAATTGTGTCAAAACTGGATCTGTTCGTTTTAATAGCATGGGTTTTATTATGTTTTTGTTTTTCTGTAGTGTAATTTCTATTAAAAATCGAGGTCTGCTGATTTATTCCAGGAGATATACTTCAGAATATCATATGCACACAGAAAAATGGGAGATTCAATATATTGTTTTAGAAAATCGTAAGGAATGAAAAACTTCTCTTTCTGATAAAAACTCAGTCACAATTTAGTATTCAAAACTTGTTTTTTGTAGGACCATAAACACGTTATAACTTAATTTGTGACTTTTGCAAACGCTGCTACAACCCGGCTTATACTAACTATTATCACTACGCTTGTCTGCACTAACTCAGGCGTTCGTTTGTATTGTTGGGCGTCCTATTAAGCGTAACTAATAAATCTAATTAAATTCTTTTCATGCACAAAATAGACATGCACAAACTACGTAAAGCCTCCATGGTAAAAGATAGCCCTATATCCACTGGCCTATGCCTGTTGAAATTGGTTTAAAATCATTCTGCTCTTCGTGCATGACGAATATCTAGCGATATGCCCTTTCATAAACAGCTTTATAAAAACAAGAAAGTATATGATCAACTATATCAGGTTATAAGGTAATATTAAAAACAATGCTGTGGGAAACCATTTGGTAATATATAAGTCTATATATAAGCCTATATATATACATATACACACACATATATATGTGTATATATATGGAGGCCTTTCCGATCCTTCACATTATAAACATTATAAAACAACATTAACCATGTTATGGGATGTGGTTTGGTTTTTTTTTTTTTTTATAGCTACCTACTGAAGTTCGACAACACAGCCTTCTTTATTCAAACACAATTCGTCGATTACCCAGATTCGTCATTATTTAAATAAGGCACACCCGATTTGTATGGAACATGTATCTTGAGGTGTGTCTGAAAATGTGTTTTAAATAATGTATATATATTTATGCCAAAATACCATCCTTAGGCTATCAAATTTCTAACATCCCATTATATAAAACAATGTTATGCTATAGACGTGGTTTGGTTTCAATGTCATTCGTTGTCGTGAAATCGCGAATTCACCTGCCAAATAAATACGACAAGTATGATGAAAAACAAACCTTCAAAATGTAGGCCTATCCCTTCATTATCTTTTAATTCGTCTGTATAAATAATTCGAATCAGAATAATACATAATTGATAGATGCAGATGTAACTAATTAAAACACAATGGTTTTGACAAATGACGGAAGTACTCGATCAGTACATAAAAGACCTTTGGATTGACTAATTTTAATTATTTTGACATACACGTTCTCTTAAGATAAGATAAGATACACTTTATTGCTCCAAGTTGATAATCTTATTTCATAGGCCTAATGTGATAATTTTAACCCAAATTAATCTTAAATCTTTAATTTATTAATCTTCCATAACTAAAAAATCCGTGTGATTAGCTGAGGTTTCCATGGAGTAAATAATAGTGCTTAAAAGAGGGCAATGCCCATCTGTCTGGGAGCACTCCCAAGAAACACATTTTGCATTCGGACACTCAAAGTTGACTCGTAGGCCTACTGGTATTTCTTAAGGATTTTTTGTAGTAAAACTTGGTCTATACATTATTGAAAAAACCAATTGAATTTTTAAAAATTTAATTTTTTTTCCCCTCATATTTTATTAAATGTGGTATATAAGTACGGCTACGTTTGACCAGTCAGTTGTTGGAATTCTTAAGCTAGTTGCTTTAGTATTAGGTATTATTATAGTAGGTCTACCCACTAATTTTAATCTTACAAAGCCTTCTTTTAAGGTCATTTTTTCATAATTGCCCATTTGATCAGCATTTTTCAATCCGGTGTTCAACCCTTGGGTTGTGCCAGGCTCCCATTGTTAGCTCTGTCGCTTCGTCATTGGTCGGCAATTTTCATGAGCAAATGCCTTTCAAAGGCTGTCAATGACTCCTATTGTTATTCAAGTGCTTATTCATCAACTGCTGCATTGGAACACCCTATATTATTCTCTCTAGCTTTAATCATTTATACAAACCCGATTGAAACTCGTCACACCTCAAGCCCGGTTCCGTTAAGAAAATTCATCAAAATCATCATTTACACCTGCGACATATCGTTATTTTACTAACAAGTGATACCTTGAATGAAGTCAGCGTATTTTCATCTAAATTTTATCTGTGGATTTACTTGGATATGACATACAGTTAGGTTTAAGTTCTTGTTCACCTGTTGACTACGTTGAGAACTGTGCTAGTTCAGCTATTTTTTTTTTACAATAATGGATACCGTTATAAAGAAATGTACCTTAATAATATTGACAATCGTACTGGTTTTGTCGTCTGCTCGAATAGTGTATGGTTATAGTACCGGTGGCCCAATGCAGGCCTGCTGGAATATGTTACCTGGACATTTCAATGTTGCCCCACAAACCTCTGTCTCACCATACACTGTAACCCCGAGTGTGACGACATATTCTCCAGGAGATACATTTTCAGGTGAGTAAATTATTAAGACAAATTCGAAATGTAGCTAGGGCTAATGTTAATTAGACATATGTATATTATAGGATGAATATTTGTTATGATTATTTATTTATATTATTTCATTATCTTTATCTCTTCATTATCGTCATTATTATCATCTTCATCTTATTATTATCATTATTATAAAATTAACGATTGCTATTATCATTGCTATTATTATTATTATCATTATTGTTATTATTATTATATTATTATTATTATCATTACAAACAAATTATTATACAGTATTTCAACATTTCTATTTCGTTCAAAATAAAATAAAAATAAAATATAAAAAAAAAAATAAAAAAAAAAATAAAGTTCGAGAATCTTTATGTATAATATCATAAAAAATATAGACCTATTTAAATTGCGGCATTTTGCGATGTATTGTCACTTTCAATACATTATTTTAAGAGATTTTATTGACACCATGTTTGAATTTGGTAATGCAACCATTTGCAATACATAGGCCTACTAATACTGATTAACAATATTAATATAAAAATAGATAATGAATTTTTGTGCTTTTCATAAACAAAGTATGTTTTTGTGCTTTTTCATATTAAAATAATGGTCTCGCTCAAAAAATGTTAGAAAATGATTACAAGCGAATCCGACTTACACATACCTATGTTATGGTTCTATGATAGAATCTGTCTGGATCTACAAACCTGTAACATGCGTTTACGTCAGCTGAAACAGCCAATACGATACGATCAGGGGCGAATTAAGGGAGGGGGGAGCTCGACCTCACCCCTCTTTTTGGACAGCAAATAAAAAAGAAAAGAGAAAAAAAAATTATCGACCAATTAAAAGCGCCTTAGAGGTTATTTTTGGACTCTAGAATACCAAATTTTCGCGGGGGCATGTCCCCGGACCCCTGGGTACTGTTACCTCGGTTTTTGGATCCGCCCCTGACGATGAAACACAACTTCACATTAGTGTGTTCTTACACTTATACACTATAAGTGTATTACACTTAACACATCTAGATGTGTATAAGAGACAGGTATATAAGTACGGCTACGTTTGACCAGTCAGTTGTTGGAATTCTTAAGCTAGTTGCTTTAGTATTAGGTATTATTATAGTAGGTCTACCCACTAATTTTAATCTTACAAAGCCTTCTTTTAAGGTCATTTTTTCATAATTGCCCATTTGATCAGCATTTTTCAATCCGGTGTTCAACCCTTGGGTTGTGCCAGGCTCCCATTGTTAGCTCTGTCGCTTCGTCATTGGTCGGCAATTTTCATGAGCAAATGCCTTTCAAAGGCTGTCAATGACTCCTATTGTTATTCAAGTGCTTATTCATCAACTGCTGCATTGGAATCACAATAGCATAGAGCTAAGCATGGATACAAGTCACAGAGGGTATCTTTAATTTTCCATATTAGGATTCAACCATCTGTGAAGCTATAAAATAGGGTGCTGTTAACAATGGATTAGGTGGGTTGTGAAAATTACTTGATTGAGTCATCATTAATTGTGTTTAAGGTTACATATATTTTACTGTTTCCAGAATGTTGTCTACAGACAGTACTCTACGATACGTTAGTTTCGATACTATACTTATTTCTTTTTGACATACTGTACTTTTAACTTAGGCCTAATTAGCCTATGTCATGCATATGTCTATTTACTGTATGTAACATTTTTAGCTTTTTTTTTGCACTGAAGATAGGCCTAGTGAAATTTATTAACACTATAGTTTCCATTTATGTTGTATCGTACGTACTCTACCTATACAGTAATTAGGCCTATAGATAGTAATCATAAATTTAAATAATAATAATAATATGCAGGCCTAGGTTCTTAATATAGCGCCCTATAATAATCTCTCAGAGCGCGAGAAGGCAACACACATGTAAAATACGTTGTATTACTTGTGTCTGAAAGAATTTGGAATAATCATGAAGAAAATAAACAATTTTTCTTTGCAAACAACGATTATCAGGTATAAAGAAGGGAATATCTTATGTGTGTATAATAACAGCTCTTACATTTAAGTAGGCATATATGAATATATTTGGAATCTTACGTCCGCGAATTGGTTTCGAATAAAAAAATAAATTAAAGCTATAACAATATTTAATTAATAGGTCCATTTTAAAGTTCATGAACTAATAAGGTTTGATTTGTTTGTTTCAATTTAATTACTCTAAACTTTTTGAGTAAATGTGGCAGCGGCGCTGTTTGAGAATAATGGCGGCGGGCAGTTCAGAATCGTATTTTGCCAGACATTTTTGCCTTCAGTGAAAGAGGACTAGGCCTAGGTCTATTTTGCTACAGTGCAGCTGGCTAGGCCTAGGACTCTAGGTAGTAGGGATAGGCGTAAGCCTATATCTAATTATTATTATTATTGTAAAGAAATTACAATTATTGATATTTTTTTAAATAATTAATACAGTAGATTATTTATGTGACTGGAATGGCGACATGTCTGGGCCTGGCCTACGTCTAGGATACTACTACTGATGTTGTTAGTACATGTAGTAACTGTCTCTAGGCCTATAGTAGGGTAGGTTAGGTAGCCTAGAGTACTGTTATAGGCAGGCTAAAAAAGACAATACGTATTGAGAAGGTGAGGACCTCTCTCTCTAGGCCTATGACTAGGCTAGGCTTATCCTGGAATTCTACTACTAAGGTAGGCCTGATTACCTATGTCCAAGGTTCCTCTTTCTGACTGAGTACTAAAAGGGGTGAATTTAAAGAAGGTCATTCATAAAGTTAAATTTGTGTAAACACTGTCACTGAATATCTTTACTACTAGTACCAAGCCTAAAGGCCTATCTCAAATAACTGGGTTATGAGTTGATCATAGAGAAAGAAAATAATTTTCTTTCTCTATGGTTTGATTTACATGCATATGTAGGCCTAGTTGTTTGTTACTAGGCTAGGGCTAAATATTATAATTTCGGGCCTACTTCTTAGTATAATTTATCGCTAAACTGAAAGATGTGCAGATAACACCAATATTTCAGTGGATAAATTAATATTCATGTAACAATGAATTATATTTACTGCTTTGAATAAAGCCGGACACTGATCACTGGGCATGACGGTTGTCGGCCGATGCGATTCTACAAGTAGCGCAACGCGACAACGCAGGCGCAACGGATCGTTTATAACGACGTTCCGTTCAGACTGCCACCGACAATTAGCAGATGGCGTCCCGTCGTTTATCGCTCACGGAGTGGAGTTGGATTTGTCGTACGACCATTGTAAAACGTAGTGAGTGCCCTGCTTAGCACAACACTGATTTGCTGGGCGCAGAAATTTGAGGGTAACCTAGCCTACCTGCAACCCTACTGCAGATTTCTCAAGTACAACAGAACATCCGTAGTTAGGTCCGTGACCTGTATTTGCTATCGAAATTTTGCCTAATTACGGACGTATCGAAATACACAAAAATACAATGGAAAATCATTATAATCCCTAGAGACAACTCATACTTGTTGGATTACTGATAAATCTTTAGGGATTAAGAATTCAACCGTAACAACACGGGGGATCCAAAAGATGTCCAAAGGTGGGAGGGGGGAGGGTCGAGGGTCGGAAAGTTGGGCTGATCAAGATAACAATACTCTAGGGGGTGCGCGCACATGGCCCAGTGAAACTTCTTTGTTCTAGACACCCGAAAATAACCTCTGAAGCCTTTTTGCCGATCAATTTTTTCTTTCTTTTTTCTTTGATTTTTCAAAAGTGCAGGCCCCCTTTAAATACACCCCTGCAACAATTTAAACTATCATGCATAAAGATAAAGTAGAATACTAAAATAGCAAATGAATAATGAGGAACCGTTTAGAAAGACAATTTTAAATTTACATGATAATTGTTGGTTGAGCGAAGGCTGTTCCCATTGAATATGTAGTGCTTTCTCCATACTTACACTCAAGGCAAATTATTGGGTGGTGCTATGGAAATTTTTCATTTACTACAGAAATCTGAAGACATAGTTACGGAAATTCATTTTGCGAACTTGAGAAGTCTGAATATAAATCATAATGAAAAATGATGAGATGACAATTTTTTTGTACATTGTAAAATTTTCATGACTTTTTGGATATGAATATTAATGAATATTTGATTTTTCTTTTTGCATTCACAGTGACGCTCACAGCTCCAGCTGGTGTGCCACCATTTAAGGGTTTGATGGTGCAGATGAGACAAGTTAAAGGCACCATAGCCATTGGTCAATTTTCAAATATAGACCACGATCGTGCATATTTTGTCCACTGCAATGGCTCGTTATTTAGTGTTGTCAGCCATAACAGTGCTGTTGATAAAACACAGATGACTATGCAGTGGACTGCTCCCACTGAAGGGATGGGTAGTATTCAACTTTTGTAAGTATATATTCATATCATCCAATAATTATCTGCTCAATATTGTGACAGCTTTTTGGCTCATAAAACTGATGTATTGTAATACCAAATTCACACGACAGGAAATTTCAATCAATCGGTCAACAAAGATTTATTTATATAATATCCACGGCAGAATAATAATAATAATAATAATTCTGGATTTATATAGTGCCTCACGCTATGAGAATGCAATGTGATGTATGCAATGTTTAGTAGTGCTACGACAATGGTATATACCGTACTCAATGTGCACATTGACCATTAGGTTTATTAACAATGCTTGTAACATTATGAAAAAATAACAATGTACAGTACTAATGTTACCAGGAATACCTGTTCTGATATTTTATTAAACGTGATTCATCATTTCACATGACTAAATATGAACCTTGTTAAAAGTCAGTTAATGATTGATATGCAGACAGTGAAGGTATGCACAACGCTAAACTGAAAAATAAGCTGCGCCCTGTTGCGATGCGCACAGACCTCGCTAAACATCTCAAGAACATTAAGAGGGCTTCTTAAGGTCTGTTTTTCACGAAGATGTCTGGTCCTTCTTTACAAGGATATGCATTCTTACTACTGAATACTTGCCAAGGAAAATATGATTGATAACAACTTGATGTGGCATAACTTTAAAATCATGTATTCTCTATATCAAATGGAATACAGTATATTCAACATTATACAATTTTTTGTTTTATATTTTCAGAGTAACTTTTGTTCAGAATCTTAATACATTTTGGGTGAAGCAAGAATCAATTGTGATTCAAGAGAATGAAGGTATTATAGCTTTTGTTTTCGCTTTCTACAAACGAACTTGTCGGTAGTACAGTATTCAAAAGGGTGTATATTTTAATTATTTAAAGGCAGTATTATATAGGCCATATAGAGTCTGTCTCTTATACACATCTAAATATATATTATTAATATTATAGTTTCAGTTTGTGTCCCAAATCCCAGATTGATTGATTAATTGATTGATTGACTTTAATCAGTTACAGTAGTATAATCTAGAAAAGGTATATAATCTAGAAAAGGTGAATGCACATCACACATGTAAATGTACATCAAGCTACACTGGACCATAGTGTCTGTCCCTGGCAGGTATAGCCTTGTAATAATTGTAACAAGTAGTAAATACAGGTATCCCTCTAGTTTAAACCACTTCCAATTTAAGACCACAGTAATGTGGTCCCAAATTAACAAATGTTTATTATTTTTTTTATTCTGACCAAAGCTGCTAAAGTACATGGTAACTCCGGTCCAAAAAGTGGTCTTTAATTAGAGTCCAGGGTTTAAGCTGGACAAAAACGATATTTAGCAATTTGGCTAATTAATTATGAAAATATTTAGCCAAATAGAAATTTGATTAGCCAAAACAAAAGAATATAAGGAATTGCATTAATTACAGTAGCTTTTTTGGCTAATTTTGAATGAAAATATTTAGCCAAATCCAGCTTTTATTAGGATTTGGCTATTTGGCTAAACACTGCTAGAGGGAGACCTGTTATATGATTTTATGTTTCTGTTTTTGCATTCTACAAACAAATTTGTCTGTAGTATTCAAAAGTGTATATTTTATTTATTTTAAAGCAGTATTATAAAGGTCATATAGAGTTATGTTGTTGAGATGCACTATATATAAAATTACATATTATTAATATTATTAGTTTCAGAGTCAGTTTGTGTCCCAAACCCATGTCTATTTGGATCATGTTTCACCAGTGAAACATTAACTCAATATCTGTGTGTATGTCAACCCAGCTATACAGGGACAAATTGCGATGAATATATTGGCACAACCACACCACAACGTAAGATAATTTTTTCCGTTTTACCAAACTTTTTATCATGTAACTTATCGTTTCTGTTCTGCAAATTCTTATTGAAGTGGGATACAGTGGCTTTTCTGTTTATGTGTACTAGCTAAGAGTTGATTTGACCTTTGTCATTTTACAACCTTTATTTCAAGGTCAGTGAAGTATTCTCTAAAATCTATAAACAATTGGTTTATTCCGTTATGGTTTATTGTAGCTGATATTTACTGGATTGATTTTGCAACTCCACCATAAAAGCTATTGACAACATGTTTAATATATTCTACCTGTGTCTTTTTTTAAATATTATAGCAGGCTTATCTAGAATATGTTTTGTAATTCAAAGTATATTTGTATGTGCAGTGTGGCAGGGGGAAGTGAGGAAGGGGCCCCATAGCAGTAGAGTTTGTTCTATACTCAGGTTAAAAAAAAAAAAGAAAAAAAGAATTCTTCCTTACTAAAAATTAGTAAAACTAGGATGACACCTTTTTTTTACAAGTGGCGTAATCCCTCTGAGCCCCTTAGGGTGATTTAAATGCTTTGTCTACACTATTACTAAATTTTAAGTGACAAATTTGTGTGATGTGCCCATATATGGAAATGATGATGATGTAATTTTACATCCAAATGTGGGCATATCACATTTACTTGTCATTGATTGATTGATTGACTGACTTGAATCGGTTATCAGCAATATAATCTAGAAAAGTTGAAGACATTTTAAAATAGAATTAACAAAAGAACCCCAAGAGTAACTTAAAAAGTGGGTATAGCAAAAATATCATCAAAAACAAAAGCATCAACTGTAAGATGTAGAAAGATGGTAATATATACTTCTGTCTTATATATATATTAATTAGAAAATACATTAGCATGCCAGTCTGAACCGTGTGCACATGGAGGTACGTGTACAGAGACTGCAACTGGAAGCTACACATGTGAATGTACATCAAGCTACACAGGACCACAGTGTCTGGCCCTGGCAGGTACAGCAGCTTGTCAAAATATAAATACATTTTGGTTTTATCATTAATTATTATTTATATTTCTTGATTTTCACATGATTTCACTGGTGTTATTTTATGGGTTGTTGCTTTTTGACTTGTTTTCCATTTGTTTCACCCCAAAAGTTTTCAATTTACACCTTTTGTTCCAGATGTCTTTGCTTCCATTTTTTCTCTTTTTTTTGGTTTATATTTAAAGAATGAAAATAACAATTTATAAAGAAACTTAAACATCTTCTGTGGTGTGGTTTTCTGTCTTTTTATATAATGTAAAACAAGGGGTATGCCAATGATCTCTGTGTTTAAAACACAGCAAACAAAAATATAGAACATAACACTACTGTAGTTTTGTGTAATCATGATTTTTAATGATACAGAATAGAAATAAACACAAAGAAACAATTGGTCAATTGTTTACTACATGATAATGATACTTGAATAAAAATTCCGGATGAATATCAAGAATTAAAGAGGATGAAAAATAGACTTGATTTGAATACTGCTTATGACCAGAAGCATCATCAATACAAAATGTCTGCCCTCAACCACAACCATAGTTTGTCCAATGTGTGTGAATTCTCTAGCCTACAGCAATCAGTCATCCCATTTTTACCCCACCATGAAGACCTTACATTATTTTTATTATTTATACACACATTCGATTTTTTAGAAGCAGGGTTTTCCCACTCCCACAAATTCCATTCTCTTGTTTTTATATTTCTTGTATAATTCATGAAGTATTGTAGTGCACATGAAGTAAGTGTGTGCCTGCTATAAATACATCTCATTACAGGAAAAGGATTGTAATTTAAATAAACATACTGATGTTTTAATGCATGGGTTTTACAGTACAGTATTGCAATTTACTTGTTACTTATTGCACTATCTGGCTACTTTTGTGAACTTTTGCCAATCATTGACTGCAGTGTTCCATTGATGGCTTAAATTTCATATACATCATATTTATCTTCCAGATTATATACACTATGGTATGTATATAAGAAAGTACAATACATACTCTAAGCATCGAAATGCACCCTATCGTGTCGGGATTCAAAATTTCGACATTAATTATGTCATCATCAGGAATAATGATGACATAATTAATGTCGAAATATTGAGTACCCGACACGATGGTTTGCATTTCGATACTTGGAGTATGTATTATACTATCTTATCTGAGATTAATCAGTGGACCTTTCGGATGTATATAATATCTACATATTGATTCTATTTTAAAAAAATCATTGAATAGTATTTCTATTGTATGTCTCTTCTCTTGTGCTTTATGAAGTTCCATTTTAATATTAGACATGTATTTATTTTCAACCATATATCACCAGCCAGCATATGTAGCATATCACCGTGTCAGAATGGGGGAACATGCGTTGATCAGAGTACAGCAGAGACTTCAATGTTCACCTGCATTTGTCCTGCAGGTGTACAAGGACATTTGTGTACAGAAATCCAAGGTATTTTGGTGTGACTCATCCATTAACATTATTATTATTGGTTTTCCCCCCTTCATCGTTTTGTCTTCATTGATTTATTGATGGTATTTTGAGTGTTTTTTTCTCATTAGTTATCATTCATTTGAAGTGCTGTGGTTGTTATTTTATCAATTTAGTAGTTGGATAATTGTAATGTGTATTCATTGTATTGCATGTTTGGGTAAACAATTCTTTTATGCTGTGTTTTGAATTCCCTACACTCTCTACCTCACCAGCATGGCTTATGGCATGTCATTTTGCATCAATTTTGAATAGTTTTTGTACATTTTGGTTATCATTTTCATGGTTATTTTACTTCAACATTTTTTTTTTAAATTTGCTCTTTAAATTTGGAATCATTTAATACAAGTTTCATACCACTATGAGATGTGAATATACCTAAAATTAGAAAAGAAGCCAAGTTTATATTATTGAGTGGAGAACTTATTGCTCATAAATATTTTGTTGTCATAAGAGGGGATAGGTTCAAAGCTGTGATAAAAAAAAAGCTTTGGAATGAATTGATTGATAAAGCTCCTGGATAATTGGATTGTATGTTTTAAGTAAAACAGGTCCAAAAATATATAAAAAAGTTTTTCACTATGATTCGTTTCCACAAATGTGTTGAAAATAATTTAATGGATAACCACACTTCAAAAAAATTTGGTTGCAACTACAGTTCATCAGTTATTGGAAATACATTTAAAAATGTATTTTTTTTTTGTTCAACACTATTTCATGAGGTAGTTTATAATAACAGCAGTTAGCAGCCCCTCTGTATAATAGATTTGCTATGCATGTCATTTGCTTGCCAGGCTATTAATGGCATTTACATCATATACCCCTCTCATAACTTGCAAATTTTATACTTTAGCTATGTATATGTTCGAAAGTTACTCTTTGTACCAGCTTGTACAAATACCACTTGTACATGTTGATTGTCATTTGAGGTATATATTCTATTATTTTTTGCTGATACCATTGCATTCCACCAACGTTGCTAATGACGTTCTCCCCTTTCTTCCTATGAAAGGCTCTCCTTTATTTACTGCGAACACTTGTGAATATTTTAAATGACAATTAAGTATAGGAAAAGTGCTTGGGGTTTTTACAGCTTATTGGAAACTGTTGAAACACTATAAAGTTACCTTATACTTATATCACAATGAATGATTATTGTGTACTTGCAAAATATATTTAGAATGAAACTTGGTTAACACTGACACTGTAGATCTTATCTATTTATCTGTGTGGCATTTATAATCACGATGACAGTCAGTACGGTTTACAGAATTTCCTTTATCAGTCTTTGGATTTTTTGTTTTTGTTTGGTGGTTGATGAATATTCAAATGTCTTATGTTACTCTGTATAGTTACCATGTGATTCAAATCCATGCTTTAATGGTGGGCTTTGTAAACACCTCAGTGACGATGGTTTCCAGTGTTTCTGTGCAGCTGGATATAGCGGAAGTCACTGTGAATTGCATCAAGTTATTTAAATATAAATTATCAGGATTAAGGAATCCCTATAGAATATAAACCTCTGAGTTTAGGAATAGAATTGGTTGGGAATTGGGAAACTGTTGAACAAGAAAAGATTAAATCAAAAATAAATAGAATGTCAATTCTGATTGTGAATCGGATTAAAACTTTTAAAAAGTTATGTATTATCATACAATGTTTTAACTAATTGTTATTCCAATGTGAAATACATAATTTTTTTTATAAACATTGCTGTTGCTTGCTGTTGATTTATAATATATAATAGCTGGTTTCATATATTGGCAGCCCCATGCTATTTCAGCCCCTGCCTGAATGGTGGGTATTGTGAAGTATTGGCAGAAGGTAGTGGATACCAGTGCTTTTGTACCGGTGGCTACCATGGTATCTTTGTGAAATACTGCCAGGTGAATTATGCTATTAAACAGTCATTTTCTTTTACAATATATACATTTAGTACTAATCAGTATTAAAATCTTGCTAGTGTTTAATTGATATTTAATAATAATATTACTGTACAAATATAATAGTAGTGTCACATAGTAGCATCAGTTTTTTTAATGTCCTTAAAAATACTGGTTTTATCAGATACCTGCTGACCCCTGCTGCGCGAATCCCTGCCAGAATGGTAGCCTTTGTGAGGTAGTCAGCGCCACTACCTACCATTGTTTCTGTAATGCTGGCTATTTAGGTGTGCTATGTGAAATACCACCAGGTAAAAAAAGACAAGACCAAGATGTTTAGCCTTTCATACATAATTGTTTGTAGGCTTGTTGGGTTTAATATTTTACTGATGTTAGCTGATAGAGCTTGTAGTTGGTCATTGTACAGTAGGGGAGTTTGTGGTTATGCAGCTTGGCTTCTACAATGGTGTGAGTCATGGGTTCGATCCTCATTATGGTCTGTAGATAATAAACTGATAATCATGGGTTCGATCCTCAGCATAGTCTGTAGGTGATAACTGATAAAGGGCATTGCAAGCATGACAGCTTCTGTACACACAAAGTATTGCCTAAATGCTATCTGCTTCTAGTTTTGTTTGTTGGTTTGTTTTAATAATAGAGAGTATGAAACACACTCTAAAGATTGTCATGCAGACCATTGTGATTCAATATTTTAAGAATAACAGTTAAAATTTCAACTATGATTTTGCTCTAGAACCATTTTCTCTTATAACACTAGGATGATGTTGAAAATAATCACAACTAAATTTATTTAAGATAAAGAGATAAATTTATAGCAACAATCAGGCCTTATATGTTTATTTATTTTAATGGTTTTTACTTTAATTTTGAATTTAAATCCATTATCCTTAGTTACAGTATTACAATTATGCATGATCAAGTATGATAATTAAGACTTAGGTATAATTCAGGGACCATAATAAAATAATTATGAAAAAACCAAATTAATAGAATAGTAAACTAGTAAAAATTATATAACTATCATCATAGAAAAACAATTATAAAAAAATTATATTAAATATTTAAAAAAAATTATAACAATTTAATATTTCTTACAGTTATTAATTATCAATTATGGAATCCAACAAGGAAATATTGGTTCATTAATTATAAGCAAACAGTTACAAAAGACGTAATGGTTTTTTGTTTTTCTTTGAAAGAACCATTTTGCTTCTGACCCCTGTTTGAATAATGGTATGTGCCAGGTAGGAACATCTGGGTACAAATGTCTCTGTTATCCTGGATTTAACAGCACTAATTGTGGATCCCAAACAGGTTTCAGGAATGAATATAATATCAGTTGTAATAATAAGTATAGCATGCAATATGCATCAATACGACTATACTTGTAAATACTGCATGGATAGGACTATACAGTGCATAATTATATATTAGTTTCCATGGTTATTATTGATCAGAAATTATGGCGTATATTTCACGTTATTGTTGACACTTGTTAAGTTGTTGTATATATTTAATTGATCATGCTCACCAAGGTGCATTTTTTTTTTTATTCTAGTATATGGTAAAATACAAAAAGCAGAACCAGTCTGAAATTATTGTAGTACAAAAATAAGATTACAAACAACAAAAAAATTCAAATACATTCAAAAACACCAGATACAAATCATTAACCTATAAATTATCTAGACTACAATATGTATATATATATAAATTCATAAAGAATAAAAAGTTTATATTTACAACCACTTTAAAAAAATAAGCTACTTAATTATTAAGTTCAATATCATTTTTCATTATTGCAATAATATTAAAATATATTACCACTATCAATTTATTAACTATACACTTATTATTTTATTGAGTTTTTATCTTATATTTTATATTGTAAAAGTAATATTTTATTACTTTTACAATATCTTTTAAATAATTTACCCATATATTCATCATTAAAGTGTTGTTGCATTGCAATTATATAATGTATAATAATAATAATAATAATAATAATAATAATAGTTAAAAAAAAACAAAAAAAAACCTAGAACCTGCATCTGGTATGATTATTTTGCATTGATTAATTTGACAGTCGATGGTATGGCAGACCGTTTATATCGTCTTGCATTTAAGTAGGACAAGAATTCCACCATTGGATCTTAAGGTTAATTTTCGCTTAGGAGGGAGCATGTCACGGTGCAACAGCGATTTCAAAAGCCCTTTAACCAAAAGAGAGGACAAGACTTTCCCTCCTTGCCGCGAGCGAGAGTAATCTAGTTTTCTCTAAAGCTAAATTGTAAGATATATAATTATTTCCAAGGATAATGCGTAGTGCCCCTCTTTTGGACCAGTTCAATTTTGTTTGCTAATTTTTTAGTAATTCCACTATGCCACACTGGGCAAGCATACTCCAGTATAGGTCTTATATAACAAGTGAAAATACTAATCAGGTCAACCATTGATGCCCCAGGACCCTTTATTACAAAGAGAGCAAACATCCTACGAGATGCTTTAGAGACCATTTCTGTGATATGCGTATCCCACTTCATGTTTTCCTGAATTACAACCCCTAGCAACTTCATGTTGCTAACACATTCAAGAATGCTATCATTGAGTGTGAACTGTTGAAAATCAGGAACGTTATGCAAAAAATTAATTCTCATGACATGGCATTTTGAGGGTTTAGGTAACATGTTATTAGTTTTGCACCAATCACTAACTCATTAAGTGACTCCTGAAATTGCAGGCAATGGTTCCTTTCACCTTTGGCACTAGTACAATTGCCACATTTTTCTAAATATCTGGAAAAGTACCTGCTTTTAGTGCACAATTGAACATGTTTAATGCTACAGGGAATGCTAATTCAAAGGCAAAATCCTTAGTAGTCTTGCTGGAAGGTCATCTGGGTGTCCTGCCTTTTTTTGGTTTCAAGTTTTGTAACAAAATCTGAACTTGTCCAGGAAAAATTTAGGGTGACGGCTGGGAAGCTGGAAGATATGCAGTTTATTTCTGTTTTGTCATATGAACCCAAACTATATTTCTCTGGAGATGCACCATAAATATAGATGGATAAAAAGAAAAATACATATTTTTTTTTATTAAACTTCAGTAGTGGACTATAATTATTGTCCAATGTGTGGGTTATGATTGTTACTTTGCATACAGAATATTAATTTATAGGTACAGCTGCTGTGTACTTCTTCTACTAGCATTGTCATGTAAATATTTCATCTGCATTTTTAATTTATAAGGTTTTTTGTTGCTCATATGTAGATACTAGAGCCTGTATTATACAGGGTGGTGTAATGTTTCCTGTCAAATTTTATTATTGTAATCAATTATCAAATAATAATAAACAAGAAAAAATATGTCTGTTAACATTTTACCTGATATCTATCTTACTCATATATTGATTTTGCTTGTGTTTTCTTGCAATCTACCAGCACATTGTTATCATTGTCCTTCTCTATATTTTATTTCCTATTGTTACTCAATATGATGTCAATCTATTGTTTCCTATTCACGTCAGCATATCAACTGGCATTTATACCAACTGGCATTTATACCAACTGGCAGTTATATTACATTCATGCACATCATTCAGGGGAAAAGCCAGGGGGTGGCAAGTGGGGCCAGGGCCCCCTGTCTGGGAAAGCTGTCCTCCCCATTGGGAAAAACCACATTTCGTCGGAGAAAATTATATGTATTTTCTACATATTAGTTGACTCTAAAATTGATTAAATAAGCATTCAAAACCCTCAAAATGGGTCTTTGCCCCAGGACCAATTGCAAAAGATTTTAAGCAACGCCCAGCCACACCAACTTTGTTCTTGTAGGGGACATTGGCCCCTTGTTGCGGACATCGGAACCCCTTTCAGGCAAGTCCTGGGTACCACCTTAATAGGCCTACTGTTATATGATTGTAAGAGTTTGAAATATTTATGTTCCTTTGTTATTAAACCTTAATATTAAGTTATATATAATAAAATTTACCAGCATATACCATTATTTGGTTGTCATCTTTGGACAGTTAAAGTTGTCCTTAATGCCAAAATGCTGTTCTAAAAGCCTAAAAGTTAAGTGTTAATTCTTTGTAAAGAGTCCCTCAAGGACTGATTTCATTGGGTTTGTGCACTATAGTATTATTGTTATTATTGTCATATTTTTGTTGTCATTGTTTTTATGAATCAAATTTTTTCCTGTATATTTGAATAACTAAATGTATTTGGCTTCTTTATTCCAAAATTTATGAAGTGTATTATTACGTTTGGTGCAACTGCTTCTTTTTGGACATTTTTTATCCATATGCAAATTAAAATTAAGTTCATTTGAGTGTGACCATTATTAAGGTATTTTAAACTTTGCAAACAGAAAAGCAATTTGATCCATGTAAATGGTGCTGGCTATATTGATTGAGTGATTATTGTATAAGAGTATATTTATGAACATTTTATTCCACAAATAGAAAGTTATATTGATACAGACTAGACTTGGGTTTTCCCTAGATTTAGGAGTCAAAACTGATAATTGTTGAACTGCTCGAATAGTTTTCTTATTACTTGATTAGGACTGCTGTCCATTATTTATATAGAGGATTGTGCAATAATATTTCTGGGAAAAATTTTAAACTGTTTTTTTTAATTTCATGTAATAGTGTCCTTCAGTTTGAAGTGATGGCTTTATGGTGTCTCCCGGAAGGAATATTTAGATGTTTGGGTGATAAATACCAACTGATTTGTATAGATAGTTGTCATGTCATTGTTTATATCTATTTACGTCTTACGTTTTAATAATATGAAAGGATCTCTGTTTATTTGTCTGTTTGTCCATACCTGTCCATCCATCTCTTTTCCATCCATCAATTTATATAATATACAGTTGGCAATATTATACTTAAAAATGAGTAATAATAAAATGTTAATTTAGTTTGAGTCTCATTTGAATATTGTATTTGGAATTATCTAATCGGCATAGGCTATTGATTTTGTTATTATGCTACCGTACGAACTGTATGTTGTTTGTATGCTTCACGGCTCTGTTATATAGTCCAGCTGTACCACGCTTTAAATGCCAAGTAGTGGTCTGTGTGATATCAGGGGTTGTACAATATGGAAGCACATGCCAAATATCACAATTTTGTTTTTTCAAGGTTTTTTAAAGATGAATGTTGTGTTTCTAAATTATTTCAATAGATGCTGCCATATTAATGTACAGTATTTCAGCACATTTTTTTAAATTTTGCTAACCAGGTTGTCTTTGGGTTTTGATGCTGTCATTGTAAATGGCTTCATTAAGGTTTGGCCTTGAGATTTTTCCCCTTTTGCCTCTCACTCTGACCACATACCTACACCAGGAGAGAAATACTTGGAAGTTACATTTGTATCTTTGCATGAGGCAAAATCACCTAGTTTGCTTTTACTGTATTATATCTGTTATTAAAAACTCTTTGATAATTTTGTCTGCATTGGACCCAGATGAAGAAGCAGTGACCTGCGCCTCTTACCCCTGTCAAAATAATGGAACCTGCTTTGATTTGGCAGAGGATTCAAAGAGGGATGCACTAGGACCATTGTATATCTGTGTGTGTGAACCAGAACATATGGGAAAACACTGTGAAAACATAACAGGTAGATAATAATGGCATTGTATACAATGTTTTTTGTGATACCTACCAGTATAATGTTTCATGCATTATCACAGGAGTCACTGTGCTTGCAGTATATATTCTATTATAAAGCATATTGATAATGAAAAACATTAAATTTTATAAGCTAAATTTAATGATGTAATTAAATGAAGGAATAATACTTACGATAAGTTTATTTCACTGCTGCCATGGTGATACGGCAGATTTGGCACGCTACTTTGTGGTTAAGGTGCTTGCCTTCCAATCCCGGGGTCCTGGGATAGATGAAATCTATCTGTTTAATGTCCTATTTGCTTATGTTTGTTATTGAAATAATTAATTTATTGTTGTGTGTGTAACTCTCAGGTGGGGAACATGTAGATGTTGTAAACTGTGCATCTAACCCCTGTCAAAATAATGCAACCTGCTTCGACTTAACCCTTACAAAAATGTCCTATAGGATCCTATAAGAGAAAATCTTATAGGAATCTTATAGATTTTTCGTCACATCTATAGGATCCTATAGGATTATTTCAATAGATATCCTTTAGGAATCCTATAGGAATCGTATAGGAGTCGTATAAGTATTCTATAGGAATTTTAATATGTTTCCTATACGATTCTTAAAGAAATCTTATAGGAAAACTGCAAGATTTTTAAATGAAACAAATAGGAATCCTATAGTTATCCTATAAAAATCCTATAGAATGCCTAAAGGAATCTTATAGATTTTCTAAAGGAACCTTATAGGAGTCTTATATGAATTATATAGGTATCTTATAGGAATCCTATGGGTTTCTTATATGAAATCTATAGGAATCTTATAGATATCTTATTGGAATCTTAAAGGAGCCTTATATGAATGATATAGAAAAGTTATAGATATCTTATAGAAATCTTATAAGAGTCTTATATGAATTATATAGGAATCCTGTAGATATTTTATAGGAATCTTATAGATATTTTATAGGAATTTTACAGATTTCCTTCTGGGATCATATAGGCGTCTTATAAGAATCCTATAGAACTCCTTTAGTAATCCTGAAGTTATCTTAAAGAAGTCCTATAGATTTCCTAAAGGAATCTTATAGAAGTCTTATATGAATAATACAGGGTCACTATAGATATCCTATAAGAATCATGGTTTCCATAGGATTCGTATGGGTGTCTTATAAGAATTATATAGGAATCCTATAAGTATTATTTTTATCCTATTGATTTCCTAAAGGAATCGTATAGATGTCTTTCAGGAATCCTATGTGAATGCTTTAGTTGTCTCATAAGATTCTTATAAGAAAGCTGTATATAATGATTTATAACAGATTCATATAAATTTCTTATTTTTGTAAATATACAGTATACTGTTTGTTTATGTTAATGCAAGTTGTTATTGACGGGTTAGCTGGTTGTTGACAACCGTTGGTTCCACAATATTGTTTGCATGCACAAGCAGTATTGAATGATTGATGCGTTTGATAGCTGGAGTGGCTACTGGACGGAAAAAATAATAATGGCTTACACAACTCCTGTAGACATAAAAAATACACTGAGTTCAAGATATACAAACCATGATTTCTTTAATTAAATACATCAAC